TGAGCGGGCGGCAGGACAGCCAAGGTCGAAGGCAAGTGTTCCCACGGCCACCGGCTAGACGCTCGACCCTCCTCAGTCTCGACGATCGGCAGACGAAAAGTACACATTGGGGCTTGTCGAATCAGGGGTTTTTCTTCCGTGTTAACAAACTCAGGGCACTGCAACGTCCGAGATGCTCTCAAAGCTCCACTGATAGGGTATGATTTTTTTTTATAAATCAGCGCCATCTCGAATAGGTAGGCGCCTTTCTGGGGGAACCTTCAAGGCCAGGAAACCCAATTTAAGCGCTGAAGCCAGGCGACAAGCAAGAACAGCAACGGTCAAATCATGACAGCGCAGAAAAAAAAGGTTAGAAACAAAGATGGGCGAAAACGACTATTTTTGGCTTCATTCACAAAGGACGGCAAGAAATCACCGAGCTCATCCACCGTTCTTGTCGAGGATTACCACTGTTTACGAGAAAGCCGCAGTAGTGACTGGTGGGAGAATTTATTTGCGGCGAAGGGTACTTGTGCTGGGACTACCTCACACCCTTTTTCGACACCCACCGGGTCTCAACGGCAGAACTGATTTGAAAAGTCAAGTTGGCAAACAAGTGTTTTCGGTAATTCTTCGTCAGGCCAGTACAGTTACATGGAGAAATGAAAGTATACAAAATTAACAGTGTTTGTAGGTGTCTCGAGAGCGCTTGTGTCAGCGTTTTCTGACAGTATAGCACTGGATTCGCTAGCCGTATAGCCACTGCCTCGGCGGTTGTTAGCACCCGTTGGCGTAAGCCTTTAGAGAAGTTTGTTGATGTCTGGCATCGACTCGGTGATTCGTGTCGACTAAATGTACGAGAATGGAACTCGATCGGATCTTACCTCTGTCCATCCATGCGGGCACATGTTCACGCACCCTCTTTACCAGGCGTCTTGTTGTACGGTCAACGTATCCCGCTCCACAGGAGCAAGTGAATGAGTAAATACACATTGATGTGGCCTCCAAAGGCAGTCTGTCTCAGCCTCCCAAACGTAGGAGGGGAGAGTTTGTGAAGCATACGTGTAAACTCGCCGCGGAGAATGCTCTCGTGATAGCCGTAGTTAGGCGCCGTCTGACTAGTTCGCTTGCTGCGTCCCCTGCAAAAGGCAGTCTTATAAATACATCTTTCTTTTCCGCAGTTGCAACAGCGGGCTTTGCAGTGCGCTCCCAAATATTTTTGAGGATAAATCTATCTGGCAACCGTTCTCGCGAAATATGTTCCGCAGTTGTTGTAGCCCTGTTTCAATAGCTTCAGGCGAGCAGATGCGCCTCACTCTAGCCGCCAATCCCTGGACCACATTTCGTTTAATGTTTAGGGGAACAAAACTGTGAACACTGTGGCTTGACCCAAGTCTGCGCGGACCACGCACGTGTTGGCGATTCAGACAAACGACAGGTAAAGGGAGCCATTGCAGTCTGACCTACAGCCAGAAAGGTAGGAAGGAACAGCTACTCCCTTGAAGTCAGCGCAACACTGTACATCAGGACTATTTTCCGGCCTTCAACTCGAGCCCCACGTTAAAGAAGCCACTGCAGTCTAATCCTTAGTTCTGGGGAGAATGAATTAACAATCGGTCTCCCTCCAAGACTCAATGGAGACCTCGACACAACATCGTACAGTGGGGCTAGCACCTGAGGTGTTCCAGAGGCCACAGAATTTATTCTTTGAAAAAAGCAGGACTAACTTACGGATGGTCGGAAATGACGCGAGGAGATAGATGGAGGATGTGTCGCATGTACCGATAAATGTAGATGGACTTCAGGTACTAAAAGGAGAGATAGGCGGGAGTATACTGGGTGCAACCTAAGGCATAGTCGACAGTCCTAAGCTCCTGGAAAGTAAAATGTGTGAGGTATCTGCTCCGATGATATATTTTTGGTCAGTCATAGGTTATGATGGGGGAGCGGAGGAGAACAGGCGATGTGACCAGGACCAGGAGCGAGAAATGAAGCATCTCCGTGCTGATGACTACGACAGGGCTGAGTTTAAAGTGAATACCTCCACGATGAGGCGAAACAACCCAAAAACCACGGCATTCGGCGTGCAGCCACAAAACAGACGCGGTGACAGGCACTTGCCGCGCCGTCACGTGCGCAAGCACCTGGACTTCTGTGATGAGATGTATGTAAATAGTCAGCTAGGTTTATGCAAGATGGC